GTCTGTAAATAATATGCTGTTATCTAGTGTTTTGTGTCACTTTACTCTCGACATCCTTTCCTTTGCTCATTATTTGGATTTTGTAAGTTTTGTATCCAAACACACATGTGCTAAAGCTTCTCAATTAGAGAACTCTTCTTTTATTGTAGCTGCTTTTATTATAGCTCATGGACGAGTCACATCAACTGCTCTTTGTGAAATTTGCACTTCACACAAAAACTGCTGTGAATATGTGTGGACCTCCTACCTGCTTTGAAGTGCTGCTGCCCACTGAATTGTAACATGCTAAACATAAATCTTAATGGCACAGTGTGGAGAGGTTTCACTGCCCCAGTACTGTCTGCTGTTGCTTTGATTAGAAACCTCAGTAAGCTCTTTAGCACTGCTGCCTAATCCTGGTAGGTTTCTTTTGTAAATACTGACTAAGAAGGCAAGCAAGAACATGTTTATCAATTTATTTAATTGTGTAAATATATTTATTCTTGGGAAAATTTGTTTTAAAAAAAACTTTCACACAAAGCATGTTTGGCTTTATTTTTAGAGGGCTCTTCAAAAATGATGGCTCAAGTTCCAAATACTGTCACATTTCAAAGAAACATATATAATAATCTCTTACTATTGCAGAGCATAGTATAGACCAGGGGTCGGCAACCTGCGGCTCCGGAGCCGCATGCGGCTCTTTAGTCCTTTTAGTGCGGCTCCGCGTGGTTTGGGAAAATAAATTATTTTTTTAAGTAATTAGCTGAAGTATATTTTATTTATGTTAGTTCTTTTTTAACTTGTAGTTCTAAATTGGAAGATTATTGTGATATTGAAATATAAATATAAAATTATATTCTATTAGTTTTTGATCGCTCAAAATAAGTGTCACACTCGCGGAAGCCGATATACCTGCCGAAACGCCGTGCATTTATCGAGACTTTCAACCCCAGGTAGGGGGTCTTCGGATCCACATTATTTCAGCAGCTATTCTCCACCGTGAACTATGTTAAAAACAAACACCGCTCACGCCTCACAGATGAAAGCTTACAGTCCTGCGTAAAGATGAAAGTCACTTCGTACAGCTCCGATATGCAGGCGCTGTGCGCAGAGGTTCAGGAGCAGAAGTCCCATTGTAAACATATCACGGCAGACCCGACGATGTTTGCATGAACAAGCTTTTCAGCATCTCTTTATTGAGCACTTTTCACACACGGTTGCTGCGCGTATACAGCCGGTGTTAAAGCTCACAGCCCGACATATACCAACACAACGGCATAGATAGCACAGACGTTAAGGCGGCGAGGCGTGATTGCGGATGCCACTCAGGTGCGTACGCGTCCCTGCAGCGGCGCTGCAGACCACGCCCTGCCACACGCATTAACCAGGTAAAATACATATTTAGGCAGAATTTTGCAAATAGCTATTTTTCATTTTTCAGCAGCATAGTCCTTTTTTTCCCAATAATTTTTTTTAAAAGTCAGGTCAAGGCTCCAAAAGCCCAAAGGTGATATAAGGGTGGCGGCTCACAGCAGTTTTTGTTTGCTACATGGATCATTTTAGTTCAGCTGGATGTCTTTCCTTTTGTTATATTTCTCTAAGAGTTCAAAATGTGTTAATTACATAAATAAAATGTAATTTTCTCTGTAGCACTTCCTGGATTTAAGCAACACACCTTAGTTGTTCACACAAAGCATAAAGGTAAAAACAAACAAACAAACAATATATACAGTGTTATCTTCATTTTAGATGTCAAAAAGTATTTGCGGCTCCCAGTGATTTCTTTTGCATGGAAATCGCGTCCAAATGGCTCTTTGGGTGAAAAAGGTTGCTGACCCCTGGTATAGACTCAAGGTGTAAATCACAAGTTACTGATTTTAGTCAATGCTTTGCAACAACTATGGCTTTGTATACAATCACACAGGTGTCAGTGATATGTTATGAGATTTCATAGAAGATTCATTTGGATAAAACCATTTACTGTATGTCTCAAACACAATATATAACCATTGAACTGTGCAATAAAAGAGGCAGCAAACATTCGGAGAGCACATTAACACCAAATTTAGATCCTCGTGATAACTAGTATTTGTAAGGAACTGTGCCTTTACAAACAATAGGAAAATATTCACCTGTTATTGAATTTCATATGTTATTGAAGTGTCTAAACTAAAGATATTTCACAATATATGCAGTCTTAATGCAGAGAAAAAACATTAACAGTCAAATACTGATTGATGTAAAATGCATATTCTTAGCTTGTGAAGATTATTTGATTTATACAGAAAGGAACTGGATGGATGGGTGGATGTTTTACTACGACCACTAAAACTGAATGTTTACAGGATAACATTTAAAGGGATTTATGTGGGGGTATATCTTCAAGATAGTCTGAATACCTTACCACTGTAGTTGTGAAGTTATTCAAATAAAACTTTGTGGTAGTTATTCTGAGCAGAACTTGATAAAGTATTATATCAGGGGGGATGGTGGAAGCCCAACTCAATCAGACGTAACAGCGGGGCTTGCTGGTGTGTTTATGGAACGGACCCAAAAGCAGACATGGAAGAAAGGAAGTGACAATAAACAAAAAGCGAGCCTTTATTACGGGGGATACAAAACAGAAAAATGGGGCAAAGCAGAAAACTAAAACCTAAACTGGGAAAACTAAAACTAACTATCAAAATGATGACAAAAGACAAGAACATGAAACTGAAGGGGAACATGCGAAAACGTAAATGTGAAATAATCCCAACATGAGCATTAATATGTACCTGAATAGTAGAAAGCAGAAACTCTGTGACATAATGAGACTTGACATAAGGACAAACAGACGACCCAATGCTGAACAGAGGAAGACAAGACAGACGACTTAAATACACAGTAATAAGAAGAAACACCTGGGGAGACACAGCTGACACAAATGAACCTGATGCCACAGGGAAAAGTAAAACTAAACACGCTGGACATGGAAAGACCAGACTCTTCAAAATAAGATAGGAAACATGGAGAGACGTGGACATGAAAGCACAGGCAGAACGAAAGTAAAACAGAGGACAAGATAGACTTACACAGAAGACAGGAAAGACACGTAAACAGGAGACATGGACAAACCAAAAACTAGAATAAAACTAATAAATAAATAAAATAAGATTAGCTATGGCAAAAGAAGTAGTGAGCATGAGGTCTCTGTAATTACTAAATTGGTCATTCTTACTTGTGGTCCGAGGGCAGGAAGTGAGGAGGTCAGTCTGCTGGCAGACACACTTCCAGAGTAGGAATAAGAAGTACAACAGAGAGTGGGTGGGCAGATGCAAGTCCAGAAGGTATGGAGTTTCAGGAGCACCGTAAGGCAATTGTAAGCACCTTAGGGCAACTGTTGTGCATTACTGAATTGAAAAAGAAGCCAGGAATTAGGACTGGTTGAGAGCTGAAGAATCCACGGGATTAAACTGGAGAGTCTTCTGATGGGTGAGAAGATTGTAGGTCTGGGATTCTAAACAGGATGTGAGAAGCAGGAGTTAGAACAAAGCAGGTTAAGGAAACCAAAGACAAAGAATGGGGCCAAATAGTACAGCCTATTGAGGAATCAGATATTACTGCACAGCCACCTTGTCTGCCCTGAATCCTGACAAATATTTAATAGAGAAAATATGCAGTGGTTGATCAGTATTTATGGATACTCTGTTTTTTCCTGCTTATCCCTGAATAAGCAGGAAAAAGATGAGGATGGATGGATGTTTTTTTAAGTAGCCAAAAAAGTTGTAAGGTGATTTCAAATGAATTTTTAATAGCTTTCTTTTGTCACAACAGCCTGTGTCAGTTGTACTATGTAGTGGTTGTGGGTTTTGTTTTTTTGTTTTTTTGGGGGGGGGGTTGCCTCCAGCCTGTTGGCTGCTTGTTTGTGCAGTCACATTGCAGTTTTTTTCTGTTTTTTATACTTACAACTGTGGTTAACTCTCTTCTTAGAGCCATTTCTTTATTTGTACCCATTGACCTTGGGTCTGTACAATGAAACAACTGAAGGATACCCAGAAAAAAAAATCTGAACTTGTGAAATCTGAACACCTTCAAGAACATTCAGAAGAAGATAAATAACGCAGGAACAAACATCCTGCTATGTAATATAGACCACTGGTATGGACAAGGATGTGCAGATGTTTCCCAGAATGACACCCTGAAGTGATGAATTAATTCAAATTGTATGTCAAATAGCACACTAACTATAATTACAAATAGTGCAACCACTTATGTGTATTTATGTGATCTATTCATGACCAAAAGGTAGCTATAAGAAAGTGAGGATGGGGTGGAGTTACATAATTGAGGGATGCTGAAATTCTGTAATTGTATGCCATCTTGTCAATGTATTGGCTTTTCCACCTCTTTAGCAATTTGTGGCTTAAAGGGAAACTGCAAAGGGTTGGCAGAGTTGATGTGATAAAAGCATCACGTTGGCAGAGTATAAAGAAAAAGGTTTAGCTCCAAACCAGCCAAAGGTGCATGCAACTAAAAGGAACACCTAGAAGCACAGTGCTTGTGTTCAAAATAAATATTAATGACATCACAAAGAGGGAACAAGGAACATAGTAGATAGGAATTGCACCAAAAACAAACAAACAAAAGAAACCCTATACCTTCACAAAAAACAATATGAGATAAACTGTTTTACATTTATTGACCAAAAAAATCACACAGTTACAATAATGTGGTACGAGGAGAACGCTGCAGTATCACTGAATAATCTGGAACAGGTGATTATTATTCTGACTTCCAAAAAACACATATTTCACAAACGTACGCAGTCAAACTGGTGGTTGTATAACAAGACTGCTCGAAGCATGCTCAAGGCCTTTTATATCTCGTGTAGGCTTTTGTATCTCATAGCATCAATGGTGGGGAAAAATTTTGCCTTTTGTGAATCTGAAATACTTGATTTACCTCAAATTACACGTTTGGTTTTTAAAGGTCAAGAGATGACTCATAACTTTCTGGTGTGTCTGTCATATACTAATTTACAGGAGATAATAATGGATGGCCCCATCTTTTTGACAAGTATTTTGGAATGCCGAGTCATAACGCCAGGACCAAGTCCAATGTATGCTGTGAGTACCTTCATTTTAAATGTTAGAACTTTGTCCTTAAATCGATTATTTGTTTTTCACAATGTTTTATAGCAAATAGTTATTAATATATCAGATGTGCTTTCATGACAGTATTTACTTTCTGCTTTCGCTTGAAATTAAAACAGTAGACATTCCCTCATTACCGCATTGCAGGAATATCCTAGATGCGTGTCTTCGTTTGCCACTGAAATGTTTACATTATGTTTTGTTACTGTGATAAAATAGTAAAAGAGATGGAGTTCAAGGCAAACATGTTTAATGTTGCAAACTGTACAATAGGGCTGCCACGATTAGTCGACTGGTCACGATTACGTCGACTATTAAAACTGTCAACGACGAATTTAATAGTCAATGCGTCGTTTGAAGCTTTGTAAGATCCCAAAAGACGCAGGAATAAGTAGTAGGATTGAATAGTGTAATAACGGACTGAAACAGAAGATGGCAGCACTGCATGTACAAGGATGCCAGCTGCCGTTAAACCCTGAAGAAGTAGTAGTGTCCAGTATCATAGCTGTGTCCAAATTCAGGAACCGCATCCTCCTGTGCCCGCATTTGTAGGGCGATTACGTTACAGCGACACGGCGAAGACTGTCCAAATTCGAAGACTCCGACAAATGCAACCGACAAATGCTGGGACACATTTTGTGGGATTGACCGATTTACATAGTATGGGCAATAAAATGTGTATACCAGACTTATTTGAGTGTTGGTTTGATATAGCTTTTTTATTCTATTTTGCTGATGTCTTTTCATCTTATTCCGTTTCATACATGTAAAAAAGGAATTTTATGCATCATGACAGCTGCAATTTTAGTCTATTGTTGGTTTTGTCAAAATCTTTCTGTTTAACGATCAATCATGCATGCATGACCAATCTGTTTATGTAATTATTCTTTTAACTTGCCATCCGTACTATAAGTAACAAAGGCTTAAGCATGACAGTCTTAAGAAGATGAAATCAAATTGTCAAGCTTCGATTTTAGTCATCCAGTTTGGATTTTTCTTTTCCCATTATATGCACCTCTTTCAGTTCATGCTTTTTAATCTGCCAGTTGTTTGAAAGCTATCTATTATCCACACTGTGCTCACTGACAAGCAGTGTATTTTCTATTCTACATAGAATAGAAAATAAAGACTAGATGCATAACTTTGTGTCCCCAAAAATGAAGCCTTGCAGGCTAAGTTCCTTTTGAGAATGAGAATCAGTAGGATGATAGCTAACGTGACAGCTAATTAGAGATGCACTACTGCACTGACCGGTGACCGCCAGTCAACCTCCCAGATGACTCCCATATGGGCATGTGTTACGCACGCACAGCAGTGCAGGCAAATAGTCACATATATATTTTTTGTCATAACACATTGATGTCAGGATCTGAAAGCAGAAGGCTCTGCCTCCCATACTACTATTAAACATCCTAGGAACCACAAGTAAGCCTGCTGTCTGAGAGCAAATTACTCTATAGGGGTGATAAAGTACTGTGAGGTCTTTAAGATTACATGGGGCCTGATTGTTTAATATCTTGTATGTGAGGGGAAGGATTTTAAATTTAGTTCTGAATTTAATAGGGAACCAATGTAGAGTAGACAATATGGAAGAAATACCCTTCTCTTTCTAGTCCCTGTTGCCACTCTTGCTCAATCAACTCAAGGCTTTTCAGGGAGTTTTTACAACAACCTGATAATAGTGAATTACAATAATCCAGTCTAAGTAATAAATGCATGAACAACTCTTTCAGCATCCCTCTGAGACAGGATGTTTCCAATTATTGAACAAATGGAATAACAATGTCCTATATATGTATTTAATGTGCAAACTACAGTACTACTATAGCATACAGTACTATGCTATAGTACATAGTCAAAAATTACTCCAAATTTCATCACAGTGTTACAAAAGCCAAGGTAATACCACCCAGAATAAGTATCTGGTTAGAAACCATATTTCTAAGACTTTTAAGGCCGAGTACAACAACTTCAGTTTTCTAAATTTAAAAGCAGGAAATTGGAGGCCTTCCAAGTCTTTATGTTTTTAAGACATTCCTGCAGTTTAACTCATTCATATGTGTCACCTGTTTTCATAGAGAGATAAATGCATAGCTGTAAAAATGTATGCTATGCTAATGATACTGCCAAAGGGAAGCATGTCTAATGTAAACAGAATTGGTCCTAGCACGGAACCCTGTGGAACTCCATAATTAACCTTAGTGCATGAACATGAACAAACTGGAGTCTATTAGATACATATGATTTAAGCCACTACAGTGCAGTACCTATAATACCCACAACATGCTCTGTGATAAAATATTATGGTCAACAGTATCAAACGCTGAACTGAGGTCTAGTAGAACAAGCACAGAGATGAGTCCACTGTCAGCGGTCATAAGAAGATCATTTGTGACTTCACTAATGCAGTTTCTCTACTGATGAGCTCTACTGTTTTACAACTACTCTTTCAAGAATTTTGAGATAAAAGGAAGGTTAGAGAATTGCCTATAATTTTCATGTGCTGGTGTCTGTGGCTTCTATACTTTAAGCAGTCACTGACAGCAAATGATTTTCACTGAAGCATTAAAAAGTATCCTCATGTTTAAAATGTTTGTATGTGCCTTTGTGTATTTAATTTTGAGTGTCTGAAAAGAGAGGACTATTTATAAAAATGGCTGTAAACAGTTAGTGCATTTTTTGTAAAACCCCTTTAATTAAAGCTGAACTTTATTTTTCTTTATTATTTAAAATCCACTGCTGCAAAGCTTTAAAAAAATGTGCCCAACAAATTATGTATCTAATTGTAGAATGCAGCACAATAACAAGTCTTTTTTTTTCAGCTGCATAATAATTTAACTAACCTCTTTTGAACAATTATTTAGATCAGATTTGCCACTCTGTTTCCCCATCTGCTTAGTCCAGGGAGCACTGTTTCAGGATTGTGATCAGTGTGACCAAACGGCTTGTGAATATCATCACATAAATCTGATATTTCAACCCAGAACATTGCTTCAAGTGTTAGTAATACACCTAGCAATGAGCTTAACCAGCAATACAATCTGTTGTTGAACTAGCACATAGGTACATTAAAATAATGATAGTGTGGTTCACAATTTTTATCAGTTATTATAATTTCTTCTTGAATAATTTGCAGAGCCATTTGCAAGGTATCATAGGGATATGGGGACCATAATTAGACTAATTGTTTTCAAAGACATTGTCACAATTACTGCAATTATAAAGCAGAAGTAAACAAATTACTCTTGTTGGGTTTTCTTTGAAATTAGCTGTTTACTGATAAAAAAAAATAATCAAAATGTTACAGAACAAAACATTATCTGTGTGGAGACTGTATTACCTGAAACAGATATAAACACGCCTGGATGTCATATTTCTCACAGTTTTTCACAGTTAGAGACTTGACACCCTCTGTGAATTTGCATCTCTTAATTTCCTCACTTCCTTTACTTTGTGATTTACGGAGAAGACAAATATGTTTTATATAAATTTTGGCCATACAGTAGCTACTGTGACCTCATCTACTGGTTTATGGATTGATAAACCCATGGATTATCTTAGATTATTTGATGGATAACTTGATAAAATTGTTCCATATTGCACAAACACCATAAAGAAGGTTCAGCGTTCGATGGTTCAAATTAATTAAGGTGCCTCTTAGCTGACTCTTAGGTGCCGGCATCTACATGCAAGTGTTACTCAAAGATGTCAAACCTGCATGCTAATACATCAGCCCATCTGTGGTTATCTCAAGGGGGACAGTTAGCTGTCTAGACCAAAACAATTTGTAGCAGGATGTAAACATGTTTATTTCTGGAGTGGATCTAAACATTGGGTCCCAAATGGCCACTTGAGGAACTGCAACTTAGGCCACTTTTGCTTTGGCTTAATTATTCAGCCCTTAAGGCTGCGACTTCTACAGAATCCATTTCAAAATATTCTCTCACCATCTCTCTGGTTGAAAATGTGTTTTCTCTCACAGGCAAGCTTTTCATTGACTTCCTTTTATGGCTCATTTTGACACGTCCTCAAAATATAATTTAAATTCATTGGAGCCGGTAAAGTCTGGTTAGACAATTTTATCTGCTTCATTTAATCACATCTTTCATATTCAAATTGGAATTTAATCAAAGGTAATCACAGCTGGCTTATCCTGGGAATATTTAGTAAGTCTTTTATTAATGATTGCCCACCTGTTCATCCCAAAAGTCACTTTTAATAAATTCTGCTTTCATTTTCTTTTTCTCTCCTGCTTAAACATCATGGCTTACATAGTCCTCCAGCAGGATTGTGTTGTTGTTCTTCAAAACAGCTCCACTATTGACACTTTTGACCATTTGTTTATCCTTCCCCTGTCTCCTCCATTGCTCTAGTGCTTGGTGTGGTTCCTGAGCTCTGCCTGTGCCGGGACCTGGAGCTTGACTGTGACGGGGCTCATCTTCAAGATATCCCAGTGGTAGCAATGAATGTCACTATGATGTGAGTAGAAAATAACCCCTGTTTTTCTTCGATACTTTCAAACTCAAGCAATGTCCAGAAAGACAGTCATCAGCAGCGATTACTGTCACAACTTGCGAGAATTTTTGTAGCAGACATTTGCCACTTCAAACATCACTTGCCACTGTGAATACCTGTCATTGCCACAACTTGAAAGGTAAAAAGTGAAAATTATTGCCTGAGACATGGCACTCAAAGAACTCAAATCTGTTGGACAATTCTCTGAGAGCAAAGATGGTGGTAGAACTAATCATTCTCTGGGCAAAAAAAGTCTTTTAAAAAAATTTTCTTTTAATTTATTCTTTACATGAAAGTTAAGTTCAGCAATATACTACTTTAAACAAAATGCATGGATATATTTCAACAAGACCACTCAGTGTTGAGACTTACTGTTAAAAGCTATAAAAGCTAGCCCGTACTCATTTAAAATATGGCCTTTTTATCAGTACAATGTACAACATCCAGAATCAGATCAACTATGCTACCATAAGCCCAACACCTATGTTACAAATTTAGCCTTCAAAATGTGACATTAAGACAACTATAATGTATGTGGAATAAATAATAAAAGGCTCATTAATCACATGTCCTCACAGACTGACTGGATGCGTCGCAAGCACACTCATTTATAGAATTCCCTGTTCAACAGTTATTTCGAGTGGACCAGCTTCTAAATATATGACACATACAGCACATCTCAAGGTGTGAGTGTATATTCTGAGCATATTAGCAGTAAACATGTTGCAATGATTTACAAATGTCAGAAGGTACAGAAAGTACAAAAATGTTAATAATTTAATACTAGTAATATTTCCATAATGTGGAGGGGCCCTTTTGCCAGATCTCAGCCCAAAAGAGCATCTTTGGGTTGTAGTGATCCTGGAGTTATACATTATGGAAGTGCAATCAATACGTCTTTAGCAGCTGCTAAATGATGATGCTGTCAAAGTCTCTCATAACTAAAATCTCAGAAGAGTATTTCCAGCAATTCCTTGAATCTATTCAATGAAGAAAAAGCAATTTTAAAGGCAAAGTAAGGCCCAACCCTGTTAGCAATCAAGTAATTTTGTAATTTTGTTTAGTTTTGTTTTCATTTCTTTTAATGGATTGTCAGTTCAAATAAATAACACTGACTTTTTGTTCTAATGAATCATCACCTCGCTTCCTTTCATGAGCCCATTATAATTATCTTGCCCACTACAGGGCTATGAAACAATCTAACTAGGAGTCATAATTAACTGCTTGCACAAAGAGCCTCTGGGAGAAGACGGTCTCTACTTGCCAGCTATCCAAGAAAAACAAAGTTAAAGTAAACAAAGTTAGAGAATGGTGCTCCAAAGGGGATTGCGTTAATAGTAAGACGTTTTCCCAAATGTGAAAAAACTGACTACTTCTGCTTGATAGAATAGTGCGTGAGAAGATGAGCTTTTAATCATCCTTTAATCCTTTAAAAGGCTTGGAATCAGCAGCTGAATCAGTTGGTCAGTTCAGGGTCTCTTGACCCTGATATGGTCTCTTGGCAGAATTTAAAAGACCACTAAGCTGTAGCTTGTAATGTTTACAGATTAATGTTTCTGGTAACTGGCTTAGTCAGAAAAAGTAAGTTGGACATTATAGGGAGTTTTTGTCTTTTTATATGTATTTTATGTGGATAATCCAGTTAAGATATTAACATATTAAAATATTAAAATCTGTACATCAAAAATCTTCTTTGACTAAATTAAAATGCCTGCTATGTAATAAATAAATAAAATCAGCGTAGTGATGTTATGTTTCATTTTAAATCATTTTTAAGATTCACAGCCACAAAATCCCATTAATCATAGTCAGAAGAAACATGCTGTCCAAGTGTCCAAAGGTGAGTGGTGCTTTTGGTTTCAAGCAATAAACATGTAAATGTCCCTGTCTCTCAGGTCCCTACAAAGGAATGGGCTTCAGAAACTTAGAGCGAACATATTCTTTAAGTACCAGAGCCTGCAGAAACTGTGAGTGTTCCATTAATTGTGGATTACATGCTATTTATGTTCTTTTATTGCATTTGTAGTCTTATTGTCTTTCTACAATATTCTTTTCTGTTTTTTATATTGTTTATTTTTTTCTTTAAAAAATAAAAAAAGCTCCACACACAATAGATCAGGTGCTATAACCCTACCCTATTCATTGAGTAAAGCATCTTCACTCTACCTTGACCTGGCAAATGCAACAAATAAGCATCACATCTATAAAGCTGGTATGTGTAAGCTAAGAGGACTGCTGGGGACGTTGACAGATTTGTTCTGCTTTGCATACAAATTCATTCATTGTCCACTTGTGTTGTTTATCAGCCTCACACAGTCACACTGACAATGGCAACATGAGAATAGGTCTTATCCCTCGCCAGAAACTATTTGGTAGCTTTTGCTGGACTGAAATCTTCCCTGAGTTGTGTATAAACAAACATTAGAATGAATTGCCGTGTGTGAAAACACAAGACAAAACACAACTGTCAGCAGGGGTTTGTCGAGCTTGTAGTGTGCAATATAAAGGAGTATTCTTGGAAGAGATTATCATTATTTGATGTGAACGATTTCATTTACGCAAAAGTTGCACTTGAGCAAAGGCATTCGGGCTTTATGGCTTAGTATGTCTGTTTTGTTTTGTTTTTCTGATAGCTATCAAGTAAAAATAAAGAAAATATTTTGTGCTTTATGTATGGATAGATATCTCCAGCACAACAAGATTCAAGATGTGAGTCCTGATGCATTTAGAGGGCTGTATAACCTGACAAGACTGTAAGTTTGTTACATTTTTGCTTTACGTGTAATTTGATAATACACACTCTGAGTTGCATTGGTTTCTTATCTGTTCTTAAAATGCAGAAAAGCATTAGTTCACTTGCAGTAGTTAATTTTGGCAACCTAGCACATCCTGCTTCTTGACATTAACAAGGTATGCTTGTATATGAACATTCACTTTAAGAGGATAGATTATATAAACTGACCAATGATGAACTGCTTTTGGAAGGTCAACACCACTTACAAATTGTTATCAGCATCTGGTGCAGGTAACCTTCCATTGTCTTTCTGTATGTAGATATCTGAGCAACAACAGGATATCGGTTTTAATGCCTTGGGTGTTCAGGGATCTGCACAAACTGGAGTGGTTGTATGTATCCAGCTTTTATAACATATATCACCTTTTATTTCTTCTTCTTGCTTTGTGCTTTTTTTATTACTTTCAGGTATGCACGTCAGTGAATGCAGTTTTGTATTGTGCAAAACTATATTCTATTTTTGATGTATTTGTTTTTACTCTAGGATTCTTGAAAATAACAACATCCATCAAATATCCCCCACGACCTTTTCAGGACTGAACTCCCTTGTTCTATTGTGAGTCATTATTTTGACTTTTTTCTGCTGCAAAGGCTTTCAGATCATCGAAAGTGGTGCTATTAAGAGTGCTTGGCAGCTACGAGCAAATGAGTGTTCTTTCTTTGAACTTTAAGAGAAAAGCCTTTCACCTTCTTTCATTTTGTCTTACTGATTGACAGGGTTTTGCTGAACAACTCTTTGACAAAGCTGGATGACATCTGTCGAGAAATGCCCAGATTAAATTGGTTGTAAGTAGAATGTCAAAAAAAAATCTAAACTTCTCCTAACATACAAGTGCCAATTTGCGATCAATCTGTTCTTTGTGAGCAGTTAGGGTGCATTTGTCTGTGTTCATTTGATAATATGTTGTTGCAGGGACCTGGAAGGAAATCTCATTGAAGTGATTGGCAATGCCTCATTCAGCTCATGCACCATGCTGACAGTTCTGTAAGTATAAATCTACATAATTTATTACATGGCTGAGGTGCAGTCTTTGCATTTACATTTTTTCTTTTGCTGCAGTTCCTGTTAGAGGATTGCAAATCAACCTTAGTTTCATACAAATTGATGAACTGTACTATCCTATGTGTGGGATCAATTCTGGCAGTTCATTAAATGGGATTAAGGTAGGAAAAATAGTCATATAATTCTTTCTGTGTCTGTTGCCTGTCTCCAGGGTTCTGCAGCGAAATAGGATCAGCTACGTACATGAACAGGCTTTCTCAGTCCTGCAAAAGCTTGGAGAATTGTAAGTAAAAATATTTTGCACAAACAAACTTCAAAAATCAAAACAAAACTCTCTGGATTGTGCCAAAAAAAAGCTGAATTGAAGCCATGTAAGATGTGGATTTTGAAGATTCATTGTGATTAATGACTCAAGAAGTTCCAAAAGAACAGAAGGAAACGACAACATTTAAAAACACTATAAATGCTCTGTTCTATTAAAAAAGCACTGAAATAGCCAGATCTATGCTTTAATCGCTTCCAAAGATTATCCTAGACGTCATTAAAACCGTCTGTAACACCTAAGATACAGCAGCTTCCTGTCTAAGAAGGACAAACATCAAACACTGCTCAGTGCAATAACCGACATCATTTAAGGACGTGTCTAATAAAGTAACATTTAGCTGAAGGGTTTGTAGAAAACCCCTGTGGAAAGGCAGGGTGCACCCGGGACAGGTTATCAGTCTCACAGAGACAAACAACCATTCAAGATAATATTCACTCCTGTAGCCAGTTTACAATCATCAGTTAATTACAATCAGCAGTCCTTGCTGCTCCATCTACTTGACTAACATCTGTATAGACCACTTCAGGTCTCACTTGTATTCTGATACGTTATGGAATTTGCACAGGTGTCACATGAATAGAACTGAGTGATTTAGAAGGAAATTTGATTGAGATCAGTGGTTATAATTGAGCATTTTATAGTCATGTTGATGATCCATGAACTTCACATTTTTATTGTGTCTGTGCTTTGATTCTAACAAGCAACAGTCAGTGGCTTTAAATGTGGAACTTCTTAATACTTTTTGACAATGGCAATTTGATCTATATAGCACATTTAATTATATGTAAAGTTCAGAAGATATAAACCCAGTGTAGGTTTTATATGACTTAATGCAGTTAAAACAGCAAAATAAAGCCCCCACACCAATGTCAAAATCATGAATAATCAAAATCACTGACTTTTATCTGGTATTGTTACAGTAGCAGTGTGGATAGAAAGAGTTAATCCATGACTGGGAAACCTCCTGTGTACGGTTAACATCAGTTAGTCTTTAATTCTCTTCAAAAACTGTTGAGTTCAAACATCCAGTCATCCACCCATTCACACACTGGTGATAGCAGCTACATTGTAGCCACAGCCACCCTGGGGCGCACTGACAGAGGCGAGGCTGCCGGACACTGGCGCCACCGGGCCCTCTGACCACCACCAGTAGGCAATGGGTCAAGTGTCTTGCCCAAGGACACAACGATCAAGACTGTCGGAGCCGGGGCTCGAACCAGCAACCTTCCAATTACAAGGCGAACTCCCAACTCTTGAGCCACATAAGAAACCACTTGGACAAAGACATTTATATTTAATGATGAAGAGGGATAGTAGGTTAAATATGTAATGCATTAAAGCCATACAACCACAACATTCACAGTGCTGCAGTTGGTAACACTGAATCTTCAAAATAGGGTAACTGTGAATGTATTATATTAATGCAGTCTGGGAAACCTGCTGTGGATGGTCACTAATGAAAAACGTGGCTACAACAACCCACCATAAGCATAGTGTCAGTATTCAAAGGACTTTACATTTTTTGTTATTGCTGTTTTTCAGCTTGCCTGTCATTCTATCCACCCCCTCTCCCCTAACAGAGTTACTGAGGGTGGATCTTCCTTTGAAGATCTGTATGCATCCATCAAATGCCCAGTGTTGTACATCAATATTTATTCATTGTTCTTTATTTTTGGAGAACTGATGTGGATTTGTCTGTGCACACAGGGATCTATCCAGAAACAGACTGGCAGGAATCCCTCCGAATCTCTTTGTCTTACTTGAGGATTTGCTCCAGCTGTGAGTTCTCTTTATACAAATACCCACAGACACATAGTTCTGTATGCGGATACCTTTCCCATAGCCTTCTCTATGGCTATTTATATCTTTGTAGTCATCGAGAATGACAGCAGACTGACAGTTTGTCATTTTGCAAAAACTAGACATAGTTTCATGTTTTCAATGAAAAGTGTGTATACGGACTTTGACTAAACTGTAGTAAATTTTGCTGGGGGTTTTGTACTACCTTTTAATTTTTAGAACTTATGTAATGATGAAAAATTGCAAATTGCAAAGATAATATATGATTGTATCAGTTTTAAATTAATGTTCTGTGAAGGGGTTATGTACGGCTGGTTAGTTTAATATACAATGACAAGTCATAATTTATTGAGCAAGTACATGTTATGTAAGCATTAATTTTATGAAGAGTTATTAGAAGCTGAAGCTATGAAACACATGAAAGAGTGAAATATTTACCTTCTTTTAATTGAAAAATGATAAACTGGTAATAACTAAATTGCTCAAAGAATGCAAAAGACAATTCCCTTATAATAAATTATAAATAGCAAGGATAATATCATTGTGATATTATTGTGTTTAACATTGTTATACAGAATAAGTGTAGATTAAATACAGAAAATACTACAAAAATAGTGTCAAACTGTGGTATAGCATCTTCCTAGGGATTATAAATTTTAAGCAGAAGACAGTCAATACACTGATTCCCTAACCACTAATAAATATGCTGGTGGGAGGATAACAAGCTAGAAAATGAACAGAGGAAGGACACACCTTTAAGATGTGAAGCAGGAGGTAATGTGACAGTATGACAGGAAGATAAACATGTGGGAGGCAGCTGACATGCATAAAATGCTTCTAGACATATTTAAATGTCACTGGTGTTCTATTTGTTTTCATGAAACTGCATCACTGAAGATTGCTGTGCTTTGTTTCCGTCCTCCCATGCATAATGTACAGTGAACTGTAATTTCATTAATCATTTATGTGTGTGTGCTGTTCATTGTTGCTTATTTTCCCCTTTTTTCTGCAGAAATATATCGTACAATCCCATCATGGAGCTGCAAGTTGACCACTTTGATAAGTTACATAAGTTAAAATCATTGTAAGTATTTGATGATGCATCCCTGATAACATTAAAATTTAAAAAAAATCAATGTTTAGCATTAAATAAAACTGAGTTAATCAATAAATTGATATCAAGTAACCACACAAACTCGGTTTACAATCAACCTTTTATGTAAATATACAGGTTTTTTATTCTAATTCATTATTTTTTTACTATATCATATTTATTTTACTTTCATATTGATCTTATCTTATTGATCTTATCTTTCATGTTGGTGCCTGTCCAATTACTTTGGTCAGCTCCAGTTTTTGATTTGATTAGTTTGACTAGTTTGAAGAAGGTTATCATTTTTTAATGTTTTTCCATTTTTGAGAACCTCAGTATATTCTGCATATTGCTGTTTGAGACATTCCGGCAAGTGATTGTCATACTTTTTCTTCATACGCACAAGCTTGAATTCACAAAAGTCAAAATCGAAATAAACAGAAGACTAAAAATGTCTCTTTCTAGTAGAAATGTCCCCCATTTAGGCCTTGAAAGGCCATTTACCAAGAAGAAGATTTGGTGAAAACACGTTTTCACGTTTTTGTGTACAAAACAAATCAGCATACTGTATTGTGTGTGGCATCAAACTAAGACAAAATCATCTTTATATTTGTTAGGAGCATAGAAGGAATAGAAATTGGAAACATTCAGCGAAGGATGTTTGAACCTCTCAAATACTTGACTCATATGTAAGTACTCCATTGTGATGGTCTATGTTTAAACAGTAAATCCTTATTGTTCAGTCTGGACTGTCATAGAGACAATGTGTTACTCACACATAGAAATATTATCCTAGTAATGAGCTTTGAGCTGGCCTTATTGAGACTGTCAGACTCCTCTTCCAACCAGGAGATGATTAAGTCAAGCTTAGTGTAATCCTTCTTTTCTGTTGCTAAAACAACTCAAGATACATCCATGTAAGTCCTGAAGAGATGCAACAAGACAGAGAACATGATAAGATGAATGCCTCTTCACCCTTGGATACAGTCACAGAGATTCTTTAACGTTCCCTTTGTAATAGTGCTTCATACAAGTTTTAGTAAGTGTCAGCTGCATTCAAATCTATCTTATTTTGCAGAAGTAAAATGCATTTTAAAGCAGCAGTGCTCCAGCTACTTCATTCATAAATATTTTGATATATGCCAGCACCCTACCTTAGACATGAATGGAATAGCATTTTTATTTCACAAAGCAATTAAAAAAATTAATTTAAAGTTGCATCTCTATTTGAAGAAATTGTTGCACCTATTATTCAGAAAACTCCAGAAGTAAAGCAGTGAACTGTTTTCAAAGGGATTGATTCTTTATAAGAGTGCATTTCCATAAAACATGTGCATTGACTAAAGGGACTTAAAAAAAAACAAAAAACAACATAGTTAATTTTTGAACATCATGATTTGATCGCAATTTAATTGTCCTAAAAAGGTCATTCCGCTTTGGTTTTGAAGAGCGAGCACCAGCATGTGTTTGACATTTGAGAAATGTGAAACAAATATTGGCCAATTATTAATTTTGCACTCAATTCATATTTTCCTGGATGAATTCTAATAGCACTGAGGATGCTCTGACTTTCCAAATAGAGACTACTGTCAATACTCTGTAAATTAATGCCATTCCTTTAATACTATAGCAATAAAATAACTGATTAACATATAGTAAGCAAATTAACATTGTAAGGACAGTAGCATGTTCACTTTGACATTTAGCTATGGGCAATATTGGAAGCTGGAAAATAGTTTGATTTGTTGAAATGTCATTTTTAATTACTGTAAGGACTAGAGCAGGGCAATATGACCAAAAATATTTATCACGATATACATTTGAAAATTTATAATGATATAACTGACAATATAATTGACACTAGACAAAATACTTTACAACTCCACAACTTTATTAGTGGAAAAAAAAAATCAATGTATTTTCACTTAAACAAGCAGCTGTTTTTTATGTGCATTAAAGTTATATAAAAATTTAACAGTGCAAATGCAAATTCCTTGCTGATATTATTTTGAAGCACAGTACGTATCACTCTGCGAGGCTCCTGCCTACGATAGCCGCAATGCTCCGACAATCCATCAAGCGGTGCGGGTTTCTTAGCTTAGCAAAGTCGTACTAAAACATTTGACAGATTTTCGAGCGCCGTGTACGACATAAAATTGTTTCGAGGTCAGTAAACACAACCAGAATTCATACATAAGGCACACGGGATTATAAGGGGCACTGTCGATTTTCAGAAAAATCAAAGGATTGATTTTAAGTGTGCCGTATTTTCCAAAATACGGCCGTCGCTAGCATGCGCTAACAAAAATAGTGCTTTGTTGTGTATCTGATGGACGAAAGCTAAACCAGTTCCACGCCACTGAAGTTGCAGCATTTTTACAAACCAATTCTGGTTCATCTGTTTCATTCAACGATCCGCTTTCGTCCTTCTCATTTTCCGTCGCCAGCACGCTTTTTCCGCCATGTGTGTATGAAAACAAAGGCACTGCGCATTCGCATTTTACCCATATTCTATCGCGATATTTCATTTTCTTATCTTTGCCCAACATTACACCGGTATTACCGTGAACGGTATGATATGGCCCAGCCCTAGTAAGGACCATAAATGACATGTCAATTTCTATACAGGGGTTGATGGTGGGAGATGGGCAGATAATTCAGCTGAATAAACCCTTTAATTCTTTCTTTGGATAAAATGATTACTGTTAAACTTTTGCAGGTCTCCACCTGGGTAGAAAGACAAAAGACAAAAGCACTCATTTTAATTTAAGTTGGCTTCTTGATTAGGTTTACCACCTTTAGAGTCTCACAGCTTCGGGTGCTATTATTTCCGTATAAAATTGGCACTTCAGATCACCAGAATACCCCTTCTTGCTTTATTCCTCTCTCTTATTTCTGCACCTGCCAGTATGTATAAAAAGAAAAGACATTTACAGTGTGGAATTTTCCTGTTGCCTTGATTGACCCGGAACCTTTTTGGTTCAAATAAACAATCTCCTTTTGTCTGTTGCTTAACCTTACACTTGTTTTGCGTGATTACAGCTACTTCAAGAAATTCCAGTACTGTGGCTATGCTCCTCATGTGCGTAGTTGTAAGCCCAACACTGATGGAATCTCATCCTTTGAGAACCTACTGGCCAATATTGTGCTGAGGGTCTTCGTCTGGGTTGTGTCTGCTACCACCTGCTTCGGCAATATCTTCGTCATCTGCATGCGGTCGTACATTCGCTCAGAGAACAAACTACATGCCATGTGCATCATCTCCCTCTGCTGTAAGTCACGTTACTACATTTAAAGTGGAAAACTCGTATAACTTTTAGGATATAACTTTTACTGGCTACAAAGATTTTATTGTTTGCTGTTGCAGTTTCTAGATTGCAACTGACATATTCTTCCAACACTGTGTCCTTCTGATAGCCTTGAATGTCAAAGACAGCACAAAGCATGAAATTAGTTTCCACCGTGCCTATCACCATGTTTCAATAATAAAGGTTTAATATTAAATACACTGGCAATCCTCATGAATACTACTAAATGCAAAAAGCTGGCAGTTGATTAGATAAGATATTCTCATCATCCAAAGAAATAAAAAGTCATTAAGATAAGACATGATTAACATGATATGTAAAAATAGTAAATATATATTCAAACTTAACTCTTGTCATAAAACTGCTTTTATATATGATGCATACTAAGTGGCAAAAAGCAGTTTTGACTGAGATACAGCTGAACTACACTCGCCAGTCACTTTGATGGGTTCAGCTATTCAGCTGCTTGTTAACACAAATCAACCAATCAAATTGCAGCAGCTCAAGGCATGTAGACAGGTTGACTCAAATTGACATTCGCTATAACCAAGGTATCTAGACGTGCATTTCTAAGTGCACAACAAATCACAAATCATTGTTGCTGATCATGCCGACCCGTTTATGATCACAGTTTAGCATTTTCTTTTATCTACTCACAAAAGGATAACAGTCCATGACACACTATGTCACAAAGCTCAAAACATCTCAAACTGGTTTCTTGAACATGACAGTAAGTTCACTTGTTCTCAAATGGCCTCTACAGTTACCTGATCTCAGTCTGTTAGAGCACCTTGGGATTGGAATGGGGAAACCGCATCATGTATGTGCAGCCAACAAATCAGCAGCAAATCTGGTATGATGCTATCATGTTGGTACAGCCTAAACTCTGAAGAATGTTTCCAGCATCATGTTGAGTTTGTGCCACAACAAAGTAAAGCCGTTCTGGAGGCTAAAGAGGATCCGACTTGGTTTAAATTAGATTTAAATCTTTCTTTTTGATAAAGCATATAGTAAGGGCTGGATCAGGTGACATGTAATCTTTAGTTATTATTAATCTTTGGCTTTCTCCCACAGCATGTCTGTGTCCTATCTTCCTCCCCTTACCGGTAACCGGTCGCAACTGATGTCCTGAGCCAGAGCCAGAGCTGTTAGTAAAAAGCTGTTCACGTGTTTTGTGGTTTCAAACACAGTGGAAAAGTAAATCCAGTCTTTTTGTGGAGTGCACTGGTGTGTGAATGTGATATGAGAACTGTTTTCATTAGCAAGTAGATTTTTGGCCAAAGAAAGCCAAAAATGAAGCTTATGATGATGAGAAAAGTAAAGCATTTTAAATATGACTTATTCTTTGCTACTTTAGCTGAAGAGTTTAAAAAGAGTATCTTAATGCAAGCAGGATGTGTTTGCATATTGCTTTTAATATGGCTATTAAAGGAGCGGAAAGAGTCAAGGAAGAAATGAACCAATAACAAAGTACAAACATGAAAGTGTTGAGTCATCCGTACTTAGAACTGGAACAAGACTTGACATGAATTAATTATGCTTGTATCAGCCATTGCCTTTTCCTAAGAAAGCCAAAGTATTCATGATCTTTAAGTGACTATATAGGAGCCCCATCACA